CTTCGTACTTTCTCTCTCTAGGGCTCTGTTTTTGCTCTGAAAACTCGATTCTCCCACTTTTGGCTCGGAATAGGCTCTAAAACCAGGATTTCCCGACTCGCACGGCCAGGCTGCACGGCCGTGCAGATCACCCACTTGGTCGTGCGGCTCAAAACGCAGCGTGTCGTTTAGTACGACCTCAGGCTTCTCACACGGCCAGGGTGCACGGCCGTGTAGGGTTTCCATCCAGCCCGTGCTCGGCCTCGGCAAAAACCACACGGCCAGGGTTGCACTTTGCACGGCCGTGTGATTTTCATGGTTTGCCCGTGCGTGGCCTCGGCAAAAAGCGCACGGCCATCTTGCTCACTTGCACGGCCGTGTGATGCCTTGGCCTGCCCGTGCAGCTTCCTTGAAACCTTGCCATTCGTCCGATCTTCGTCCAATTGACCCCAGACTCGCTCCTAAGCCTTCATTCACGTACTAGGACCTGAAATATCACAAACAAGCACAACCTAGCGTGAAATCGGCCTAAAACACGAGAATCAATACCTCAAACGGTGTAAGAACGGGGGTAAAAACATGTGTAAATAACGGTCTATCAATACATTTTATATTTTATATTCTTAAATGATGATGGTATTTCTCCGAACGTTACACCTATATATTCTTTCTTAATGTATCATCTCGATCGAAGGATTGTCAATATGATTAAATCGGTTGATTAGCTTAAACGTAATATAAAAATATAAATAATCAAATATGAATATTCCTGCCAATGGGCCGGGTTATAAGCTAGTAATATAATAAGAACTTTCCAAATAAACAATTCACGAATTCAAATTTTCTCTTCTCTCACGCTTTCACATCAGTCTTGATTTTCCATGTCACTTTTATTTGTTTTCTTTTTATATTTTAAACTTGACACTAACAAAAAAAAACATAGATAAGGCATTGTTGAGATTCAAACACACAACCTACTAGACATAGATCATTATAGTGCAAAGATTCTAACTAGTAAGACAAACCCTATTTGACAACATCAATTGTCAAATTAATTAGTAAACTTCATATGTTATATTAATTACTCTCTCCAAGAAAGTAATATTATTCTTGTTTATATTGCAATTTTAGTTGGGTACAAAATGAGGGCCTTTCTAGCCACCAAGTGGGCTACCCTATTGTTGCTCCGACCTACAAATTGAACACTAAACCCATTATGATGCACAAAAACCTGCACAACCTCTTCCAAAATGGGCCCCATCTGATTTATCTCGGACATCACTTCGATTGATCTTTTCGATGACCACTTTGGCATCCCCTTCGAACCTCATTTCCGTAAATTCATGGAGCATACACTAAAGTATAGCTTCCCTCAGAACGAGCGGCTCGACAACCATAAGATCATCAATCTTCGGGAAATGGACCCCATTAGCCAATAAGACCTCTCCATCAAGGCTCTTAAAAATCATTCCGCCTACTGAGTGAGACCCACTCTTTGTAGTCTCATCCCACATACAAACAACTGAATGCGGATGCATAGTACCCAAAGGTGGTATCAAAGAGATGGACGACTGAAGACCACGGTCGATAGGCAGCTCAATCCACTCTTGATACTGCTGGTTGAACTGCCTCATAAGAGCTGGTATCACAAACTGTTTACCCTTAAAGACAACTGCCACAAAAATGTGAGGTTGATGTATGGGTGACATCACCTTCTTCAGGAGCAGGAATGTGTGACGGGACAGCCCTTGCCCAAGATCTTCCAGATCCGAATAATCCCATAACGCCCGTGCTACTGGAAAGACAAGAAACAAATGTTCCATTGTCTCTAATTCCGCCCAACAAACTAGGCACCTAGGAAGCACCGAAATGTCTTTTTCAATAAGGGCTTCCGTCGTCGGCAAGATGCGATTAAAGATCTGCTTAACATAAACCTACATTTTGGGGGGAATATTGGCTTCCCATAAGCGGATCCAGCTGACCCTATCCATCCAACTCTCTGTTTATCTAATGAGACAACACAATGGTAAGTTGACTTTACATTAAAAATTTTGTCGGACGTGCCATGCCACATAACCTTTGTTACTAGTAGTTCCCCATCATCAGGTAACACTTGGGGATTGTGGGTTGGAGGAAATGGATGTAAGCAGGGGACCCAGTTGGAAAGCAACAGAGGAGTTGTTTACCATTTTCAATATGCAAATGCAACCCCATGACTAATAACTGCCGACCATAGAGGATACTCTGCCATCCCCAAGATGGTCGAGAATGTGCCGTAGCTGTGAGGAACATCCTAGTCGGAAAATATTTGCCTTTCTAAACTTGGGCTAGAAGGGATTGGGGATCATTAAGGATAAGCCATCCATTTTTGCTAAGAGAGCCTGGTTGAAATGTTCGCATCGGCAAAACCCCATACCCCCATCGTGCTTACTTCTGCACATATTCCGCCAGGACATCCATCTTATCTTCAATACACTACCAGAATATGACCACGTTTTTGTTCAAGAGACGACAAAGAGAGAGGGGATATTTGAAACACGACATAGCATGAAGTGGCAGAGCTAAAGCGACTGATACTGTCAAATTTTAAATACGAGTAACTCACAATTTTTTTAAAGCGATGAAAAATATCCATTAACATGGTTATTGTGTGAATCCGGCCTAATTAAATAGGATAAAAACTCAAATTAAATCAATCACCCGATGTTATGGATAAAATCCAAAAAAAAAAAAATGGATAGTGGGCGGACATGATTTTCCTACTATCTAGCCCGTTTTCGCCAAAATTATAGATGCATATGTACATTTTTATTATAAATGTTCATGATGCTTCTTGTTCTAACATTTTTTAAATGATATATTGATTTTTGACATTGTATTAGCATTTTTATGATTTATATATTGTATGTTCGGATTTATATAATTTAGGACAATCTCCTTGAAATAATCAAAAATTGAGAGCCCATTCACATACTTCCTATAGAATTGGTTGGTCTTAATAATTTTAACTGGTTAAAGACGTTAGAAAAGTAACTAACGTGATTCACATATATAAGATTAATCATTATTAGGTTGGATCGTTAATATTCATTTTTCTTACAATTACGAATCATGAGTATAGAAAGTAAATTCAAACTTGTCAATTCAATTATTTGTAGTCAAATATGTGAGCCGGTACAAACTATATCAAATCACCTATCTAAAAAATTTGTCTTGACCACACCAATTAAATTGCATTTAATATGCACTTTGATCCAAATGACATACGATGTGGTACGGTTTGTGTTGATACGGTGAGGTCACTAGGTATATTTGCCCACCCCTACAAATATCCCGTATCATATGAGCCATGAAAACTAATGTCCACCGAACGTCCGATCATCCAACGGCAATTTTCCTCCCTTCTGCTACCTACCCAGGCCAAATATTTATAAAAGTTTTATAATAGCGGGAAGGGATGGCTGACTAATTGACGTAGTACCTTGCAGCAATTAATACGACGAGGAACCCTCTATCTACTACCTCTTTATTTAGTATGCAATACATTTTAATTTATAAATAACCAATATTATTTAGTATTTTTTTACTTGTATTTTTTTGTAAGTTAAATTATTTTTAGATACAAAATGATATATGTGTAGTAAGTTTATATTTACAAAAAATACTAATACTATCCATAAATTAACTAACATAACTATATATTATTTCTCCGAACACCCACTTCATAAAGACTAATAATATTTGTGTAGTAAGTTTATAATTACACATATATTAATATCATCCATAAATTATCCATATTTTTTAACTGGGTGTTTGGAGAATTAATGTATGGTTCGGTTTGCGACCCATGGGTTAAGTTGAGTTTTTCTCTTCAAAAATCCAATGAGTTCGTGAATCCATATTGTTCATGTTAGATACAGAATGATATGGTTTTGTTTTCTAGGTGTGAGTTTTTTTTATAAACTCAACCTGCATTTTATTTTGTTGGGATCAATTGAACAATCTTGTGAAAGAAAGGGTATCAGGAAGATTTGTGGCCGAGAGGCCCAAATCTCCTCTGAATCCCAATTACACAGGCAATGAGCTAAAATATGGGCTGGTTGGTTCAGGTCTCGACCCGTAAATAAGAATTTGATGTCTTCCAGTTGTCCCCCCTCCAATCGGATTTCCCCACAAACTTTCTCCACTTCAAGCGTTGAGCGCATTTCCCCGTTGACCTTCTACACCACAAGGCAATCTTTCTCTATGTGAGTTGGATGGAAGCGAATGAGATTTCGAGCGTCAAACCACACTTTACCTGCCTATTTAAATTTCGCATCTAGCCCAAATCCATCAACATATGAGTTTTACCCACTTTGACCGGAATGAATCGAATTAGATAACTGTGAGGACGAATTGAATTGCTATGCCTAACCCTACCATCAAATTGAATTGCGATGCCTAATCCTATGAGTTCTTTTTTTACCACCACTTCTTGATTTCCTCGTCCCTGTATTAAAAACTTCAGCTATAATCTTTATCAGTACTGTGTTTGCACACCATACCAAAACATGGTAACTCTACAGACGAGATCCAGATTCAGGACAACGGCATTGGCCGCTTTAACCTTGGCATCTCTTCTTGTCAGTATCATCTCATTCTCAGTCCTGTCCAGGAATCCCCAAGTCTTCCCATCCTCAGGATCATTCCCAAATCCCCACAATTACTATCACACAATCAAACCTCACCAGAAGATATCATCATTGTCCCGTAAAAACTCTCCACACTTAATCTCCAGGCTGCGAGCCTACGAGCGCCATCACAAACGCTGCCAACCGCAGTCTCAATCTTTCAACCAAACCATCCACCAACTCCTCACAAACAAGAATAACTCAAACTCCAATCCGGCCGCCGCCGCCGCCTGCAACTACATTGTGTACACCCCGGAAAATGGATTAGGAAACAGAATGCTCAGCTTAGCCTCTGCATTTCTCTATGCTCTCCTCACCAACCGCACCCTCCTCGTCAATTTCGGCCCCGACATGACGGATCTCTTCCGCGAGCCGTTTCCCAACTCCACCTGGCTTTTACCCAGACAAGACTCCACCAGAGTATTCGATGACGCCACTACTCTGCACTTCAGAGACGCCCACAACTACATTCACTACTTGCTCTATCTTCCATACCGGTGCCGAAACTACGAAAAGTTCTTCTTTAGAGATGAGAATCAGAAACGTATCGAATCGGTTCCCTGGCTGATCTTGCATTCGGATCAGTACTTCCTCCCCTATCTCTTCCTGATGCCGTGTTTCAGACCAGAACTGGACAGACTATTCCCCAACAGGGAGACCGTTTTTCATCAATTGGGGAGATACCTCTTCAGCCCGTCGCACCAAGCTTGGGGTTTCATCTCCACATTCTACGAAACGTTTCTATCCAAAGCCGATGAGAGAATCGGGATTCAGATTAGGGTGTTCAATGATTCAAGAGGAAAGCCAACTCCTTTGGTGATGCAGCATGTTTTATCGTGCATCCGAAAACAGGGGATCTTGAATCGGACCGGAAACAGGGCAGTTTTGGTTGCTTCGTTGTCGGGTGATTTTTACAGAGAGTTGAAGGTTAATGCGACTGGGGTCGGGGTTTATCAGGCGAGTCAGGAAGAGAGTCAGCGGCTTGGGGATGCGTCGCACAATATGAAGGCGTGGGTTGATATGTATCTGCTGAGCATGTGCGATGTATTGTTGACGAGCGCTTGGTCGACTTTTGGGTATGTAGCTCATGGGCTTGGCGGGGTGAAGCCGTGGATTTTGCAGATCCCGGATATTGGCGGCGCCGGCGACGGCGGAGAAGCAGAGTGTCGGAGAGCAGTTTCGGCGGAGCCGTGTTTCCATAATCCTCCTGATTTCGATTGTCCTGAAGGTTTTGTTTCGCCTGTGGTGCGTTGTGAAGATGTGGGTAAGGGAATGAAGCTTGTAAATCAGCATTATAGTTAGTAAATACTCTTGTTTAATACACGTATATGTACTCGTACGTACTTTATCCCTTTAAAACTTTTGTATCCGTATTATTGTCAGGCCGTTTCATTTTATCCCGTTCATTTGATGGCTCCCATACTAAACACGTATAAAATCCGTATAACACGTTTATTATCCGTATTTATGAATTAAATTGTTAACTTTAATATTATTTATATATTTATTTTTAAAATCATTATTTTTATATATTTATGGCTATTAACATAATATTAAAAGTAACTTTAACTTAGAGATGAAGTATAATACCCGTACGTATTAATGGGAGCACCTCACTATCAGAACTGATTGATCATGATACTCGATCTTGGTACAGATCTTCTACAACACTACTTCAATCTTATGGACAGACAACAAATCCTCAAACCCCAATTCCTAGACAACCAGCTCAGGATGAAAAAAGTGTGGAGTCTGGAGAGGAATGGAAGTTGCATAGTGAGATGAGCCTATGAGGAATAGAGGATAAAGCATAACGAACAAGAGGAAGAGGTATATATCCCTGTGAACTGGACAAGATACTGGAAAATTATATTCCTCCAAAAGTGAAGGTTTTCAGATGGAGATGGGTGAACAATTGCCTCCCAACAGGAAAGAATATCTTGGATCGAACTCAACAAGGGTGTGATGAATGACATACAATGTATTACGGTTTGTGTTGATGCAGTGAGGTGACTAGCTACACTTGCCAACCCCTACAAATATACCATATCATATGATCCATGAAACCTAATGTCCACCGAACCTCCGATCATCCAACGACTACTTTTCTCCCTTCCGCTTCTTACCTGGGTCAAACATTTATCAATAGCTACAAAAATTTATAACTGTGGGGGAAGGGATAGCTGACTAATTGGCGTAGTACCCTGCAACAATTAATGCGACCTCGAACCCTCTATCTACTCTCTCATTTATTTTGTATTCCGTACATTATAATTTATAAATAAACACTATAATTTAGTATTTTTTTCACTTTTATTTTGTCGAACAGAAGCGTGCAATCGATAATCCAAACCAACACGAACGAACACAAATTTAACGTGGTTCGCTAACACAATGTGTGCTAGCTAATCCACGGGCAGGGGAGGACAAATTTCACTAATTTGAGGAGAGTACAGGTTACAAACCCAAATTCCAAACGGACACACCAAACAAACTAATCCGACTGACCTTACTACAAACTAGGATGATAAAGAGTATTTATAGAACTCTTCTCCTAATCCCAAATAGAAAACCAAATACCTTTTCCCAAACATACAAGGAAAAGGTCAAACCCAAACCCAAACAAATAGGCCCTAAACACAAAACAAACCCAAATCAAATTCAAGTCATATCCTAACAATCTCCACCTTGACTTGAATTCTATCTCAAATACCATATGTACCAGACGCAACCAAAGTTGCCAGATGTACCAAACGCGATACATATCGGCAGACGTATCCAAATGCGATCGAAACCGCCAAATCCAAACGCAATCAAGATTGCCAGACATATCCAAATGTGATTCATATCGCCAGACCAAACGCGATGGAAATCGCCAAACTCAGATGCAATCAAAATTGTCAGACGTACCAAACTCCTCCAAATTAGTTGTACCAGAATCTCCCCTGCCTCCAAATGCCCCTAAGGGCAGTCAACAACTCAAACCATTCGGCAAGTCCAATACATATTGAGACTTGCCATTCAGAACCAACTTGCTGAACTTATCACCAGCAGAACATGTCAAAACAGAACCTTGTAGACTATACAAGGCACCACGCTTGATACCTTTCAAAATCACCACCTTTGAAACTGAAACGCTTGCTGTCGAGTAGACTCAAACATATCAGATTCTTAGTCATCTCTGAAATATGTCTAACATTGTTCAAGGTGCGAACAGAACCATCATGTGTCCTCATCCTGACGGAGCCTCTTCCAACAATCTTACAGATAGCACCATTGGCCATAGAAACATGCCCTCCATCTATCTGCTTGGACACATATGATAATCAACTGCAGTATCCAAATACCACACATCCTGATGATGTACCTGCTCATTCACTGCTAAGGCTAAACAATCTTCAGAATCAGAGTTAGTTTCTTCCGCCACAGCAGCAGATGATTCCTTCTTCTCCTGATACTTCTTTAGCTTAGGACCAATGCAGTCAAAATCGCGCTTTAAAACTTAAAAACTTACGATTTTACGCTTTTAGGTCACCAAAACGCTTTCGTTTCCATATAAAAACTTAAGTGTATAAAATCGGACTAAATTGCGCTTTAAAGCTTAAAAGCTAACGGTTTTACGCTTCTAGTTCACCAAAACGCTTTACGTTTTTACGCTTTTAGTTCACTAAATGAGTATTCTTTTCATGAAATTAATTATAAAAAGTATATTTTAAAAGTAAATCACCAACAATATGATACATTTGAGATTAGAAGATACATATCAGGTACTTGAATGCATTCTCAACTTCAATAGAGTAATATAATTCACCAGCTAGGCTTTTCCCAAATTCATTAGCATGGAAAAGTGGCTTATTGTTAAAATTTATGTTGACGAACTTATTATTAAGATGCTATAAGTTGTTCTACTTTAGGCATGAATCGCATGTATTTATTAACTTATCTGTGCATTCATATTTTGCATAGCATATGTCCTACTTAATAGATTTTTAGTTATTTTTCAGTATACATAAAAAACTTACGCTTTTACGCTTTGATTCTACGCTTTACGATTTTATCCCTTTTCCGCTTCTAGGTAGAATCGCGCTTTTGACGTCATTGCTTAGGACAATCAATTTCCAATGCCCTTTCTCCTCACAGTAATGACATATATCATCCTTCAAACCAGCAGAATTCGAATTTGTATTCGCCTTCCTATTACCAGATTGTTGTCTCCTACCACCGGTAGTAGCCAACCCAGATGCCTGATTTTCCGAACTAGAACCAGACGCCTTATGTCGAACCTCTCTAGTATGTAGAGCAGATCTGACATTTTCCAAAGATAAACTATCTTTCCCATCAATAAAAGAATCCACAAAATTCTCATATGACTTTGGCAAAGATACTAACAGAATTAAGGCAGCATCTTCATCATCTATTTTAACATCAATATTCCGCAGATCTAATAAGATAGTATTGAGTTGATCTAGATGATTCCTGAGAGATGTACCTTCCTCCATACGCAAACTGAACAAACGTTGCTTCATATGCAACTTGTTGGTTAAAGACTTTTTCATGTATAGACTTTCAAGCTTCAACCACAAGCCTGCGGCAGTCTTCTCAGCAGCAACCTCAGTGATGATGTCATCAGCCAAACAAAGCAAGATTGTAGAGTGAGCTTTCTCCTCCAAAGTAATCCACTCTTCTTCATCTATGTTTTTCTTCTTCGATTTTCCAGACAACGGAGCCCACAAACCCTGTTGTTTCAACAGTGCTTGCATCTTGATCTGCCACAAACTGAAACTGTTTCTTCCAGTAAACTTCTCAATCTTCATACTTATAGCAGCCATTCTTATTATCAAACAAACTCCAACCAAACTCCACAAAGCAAAGCTTCAGTCCAGCGCCGAATTCCCAAAACCGCAACCAGGCTCTGATACCACTTGTCAGAACAGAAGCGTGCAATCGATAATCCAAACCAACACGAACGAACACAAATTTAACGTGGTTCACTAACACAATGTGTGCTAGCTAATCCACGGGCAGGGGAGAACAAATTTCACTGATTTGAGGAGAGTACAGGTTACAAACCGAAATTCCAAACGGACAAACCAAACAAACTAACCCGACTGACCTTACTACAAATTAGGATGATAAAGAGTATTTATAGAACTCTTCTCCTAATCCCAGACAGAAAACCAAATACCTTTTCCCAAACATACAAGGAAAAGGTCAAACCCAAACCCAAACAAATAGGCCCTAAACACAAAACAAACCCAAATTAAATTCAAGTCATATCCTAACATATTTTTTTGTAAGTTAGATTATTTTTTATACAAAATGATATCTGTATAGTATGTTTATAGTTACAAAAATACTAATACTGTTCATAAATTAACGAACATAGCTATACATTATTTCTCCAAACACCCACTTCGTAAAGACTAATAATATATGTGTAGTAAGTTTATAATTACACAAATACTAATACTATCCATAATTTTTTTAGGGGCTAATACCACTAGAAAATACGAACTATTAACTTTGTGTCATTTGTGTCCTAAAGTATTCGATATGACATTTTTGTCTCAACCTATTATAGTTTTGTGTCATTTATTTCCTAACGATTTTGTTGAACGTTATAGATAACGGTTGACCGGACGGTGGTCAACTTGACATTGAATTTTGCTGACGTGGTAAAAACGTGGATGCCATGTCACTGACACCTCATATTTTAAATTAAAATTTAAATCAAAACAATAATTAAAAATAAACATAATAGAAACAAAATAAAAACTCTCACTATTATTATCGATCGGTTCCCCTCTCTCTAAAAAAGGGCGACCAAGCCGGACTCCTGACTCGTCGCTCCTCGCCTCCCCCCGTCGACACCTACTCCTTCTCCACCGCATCTGCTCCTCCTCCCCTTGCGCTCCTCCCTCCGCCAGCTTCTCTGTTTTTTCCTCTACCTTTGCTCCCGAATCTTCTTCCTCCTCCCCCCTACCACACCCCAAACCTGATTCAAGATATTGAATCGCCATCAGGAAGGAACTCATCTTCTTCATCCCGATCTCCGTCCCGCAGATTGACGGCCTCCCCGTCGATGAGATCTCTGTTATGGACCGCAATGGCAGAAACCCACCTAATTAAGCAAAGGAGGGATTTTGTGGGTTCGTAGTCAGGGAGGGGATTTGGATTAGTGAAATTTGAAAGAATAGGGAGAAACAGAGGGGAGCCTCTCGTCATCCAATTCAATGGGAAAATCGCGAGCAGATCCTCGAGACCATGGCCGCCGCTGACCTTACCATCTCCACACACACACT